AAAAAAAAAAAAAAAAAAAAAAAAATACATTTCCTTAGCTCTATTATGTCTCCTTTGGTTAAGAAAGCTGAGCGCCAAGATTTCTACTCAAAGAAAAGCATTATTTTACATTCTTGTTGCATGTTTCTCCCTCTCGTCTTCAATTCACTCCTAATCTCTTATTTTTATAATGGGGCCTCATCATTAGGCTTCCCCAGCTCCTTCCTAGACGTGGACATGGTGTAACAGACAGGTACCAAGTACATTTTTAAAATTTTTACATGGATAACGACTTTCTCAAGTGAGTATCACCTACTGTACGACCACTGAAACTTAAAAAGTAAGGAGACTCAAAACAGGGGACTGTTCTTTAGAACCTATAAGAAGAGACTGACCTTGATCGTAGACTATACAGTGAGCCTATTTTCCTACATAAAAAGCAAAAAAATCTTCCAGAAATTCTCAATGCCCTACTTTCCAGAAGATTCTGCCCTTACTATGAAACAGGGAATAATAGGCTCTTCCATACAAAGCAAGAACTTAACAGTAATACCCAAAGGAAAAGAATGTTTGTAAGAATATTAGTCTGTCTGAGTGAAACTAATGAAAAACCGTGGAACTGTGTGGCAATGCAGACTTTCTCCGTTGCACGTATTTGGGATGTGATCGCCCTCACAGATCCTCCCAAAGGCTGTAGAAAATCAACTCCACCCACATGATTTCAATAGGCTGCTGGCCTTTGTTTTTTAAGTATTTTTCATCATTCTAATACAGTGTTTCCAAAGGAAAGGGTAACCACATTATGTTTTATTGTGATTTTTGGAATGATTTTGCAGATTTGTAAAAAAGAGCAGGGCAAGCCGCCCCAGTTCTGTTTTTCTCCGAGAGCTCAAAGGCTTGTGGTCTGGCTCCTGACTTGGGAGTTTGCTTGGGGAGATGGCCAACAGTTTTCCCGGCCTCAGCTCTGAAGCCTCGGCTCCTTCCATAGCAAGGGTGGCCTGGAACATCTCTCCACATCCTGGTGCCAGTTATGAATAATAACAGGCATTGACGGCCCAGGCAGCTTTCCTGGACCAGGGTGCTGGCTGTGTCAGAGACGCCCTGAACTTCATTTTGCTGTCCTCAGTGGAAAAAACACCACCAATCCTCGCTTAAATTTTATAACATCTTTCAGGGGACCAATATTTCTGAATGTTATTCAAACAAACAAAGATTGAAAACTAATAGCCAATCTCTTTGTGAACAACTGGTTCTTTTAGAGGAGTTTGTGACCTTTCAGTGTATAATATACCTTGTTTATTGATCCAAAGCACATTGATTTTGCCTAATATTTACTATTGAAGAATTAGAATGGTAGTTCAGGATTAGTAAAAGAAGTTTACACGTGTAAAGAATGGATAATGCATTAATCTTACAGAACTCCTCCATTTTTGAAATCTTATGTCTGATACATCTTTTTCTTAGCATCTGTTCACAAGTTTGTGTGTGTATATACATGCAGGTGTGTTATCCCCACCCCTGCATGTTGAGAGACAGAGTCCTACAAGCAAAAAACATCACACTTTCATTTATTGAGATCCTCTCTCTCCACCCTCAACACTAAATCTCACTGTCACTTGAATCATTGGAAGTAGGGTTTTTAAAAAGTAGAGACTTCATGTTTATGCTGCTTTTTTTCATACCAAAGGAGACAAATGTGTTTTGGAAATAAACAGCTATAACTGTTCTGCAAATGGAGAACTGTTAGCAGAGGGAGGAGATGAGGTGTAATTAAAATATTAATTAAATATGGAAGCAAACCAGAGTTTTTTATAAGGAGGTTGGTGTGGGTGGGGCTGTGACAATAACAAACTCAGCTTGCTGACTGAGTAGTAATCTGCGACTCAAAGGATGAAATCTCTTCCAACCTATTCTATCATCTACCCCACGTCACTGTACTGATCTGATTACATGTGGGTCTTTCTTTCTAAACTGAGCAGATAGAGGACGGGGCCAGATGGTTCATGTCGACATCTCCAGGCCTGACACCTGTGGCTGGCAGAGGAGGGGCTCCTCCAATGTGGTGGTGAGGGAGGAGCCAGGGACACCAGAGTTCAGAAGGGTCAGAATACATCTCTTCAGGTTTTCAGATTGGTCACGACACCCCTCTCCTCCAGGGACTATGACTTTGCCAGCAGTACTGTGGGACTCCGCAGAGCTTGCGGCTTCCATATTATTTCACAGTTCACCCCTTCACATGTCTGTCTCTCTTGCAAGCCCTGGCGCTACCCCATGAGGGTTGAGATTGTCCTATCATCCCTATATTCCCAGCACCCAGGACAAGGTCTGGGTGCACTCAGTATTTGTCAAAGGCACAATTGACAAATGAGCTTTTCTTCACAGGTTAGTGGGCTGTGAGTTTTAGATACATTACAACATTCTCTGAAATTTCCTAAAGCCTGTTTCCTTGCCCTCTTCAAAGCTGCAACCATTATCTACGTGTCCCCAGTGTATAGGTAATGATATTGGGCTGGGAATAGGCTGTGAGACTTACCCCAGAGCCCTGCACTGGCTGTCAGTTAGATTGGAACTCAGGCAGAAGTTGGAGCCATGGACAGAATCAGTCACATTATTGACTATTTGCACTTAAACATCAGTCTTTGACTCAAAACAGCAACAGAGTCTTCACTACTGAGGGTGAAATCCCCAGATAAAATGCTGGAGCTAAAAAGCGCCTTCTGATATTTCACTCTCGTGGGCCACAGCCTCCCTTTCTCAGTGTGAACACGAGGGGCGCCTGGACCACCTGTCCCCCCAGCTTTGGTTCACCGAGGTGCGCATGTGCCCTGTTTTCCTTTGACAAAGGGGCGCATATTTTTACAATTTTTATACAAAGTGTTTTGCTATCAACAGGGAAGAAGCTTTTGATAAATTTTATTACATAATTCATTTCTATTTAACATTTCTGATTAAAACTACATACCTGTCTTCTCCATCAGACTTCACTGATCTTTTGTTAGGGCTCATTGAATTCATTTAACCAACATTTACTGAGTACCTATTATGTTCCAAGCTCTGTGAGGAGTTAGATGAGAACGTTCTAGTTTCTGTCCTGGCGGTCTTCACAGATCATCATCTCGTAACTGGAGTAGTGTTTTATAGTTGGGGTGCCTCCTGCTTCAGTGATTTCCTTACACGCCAAGTTTGTACTGCCTTTCTGTGGAAAACACCCCCGACAAAGTGGTGCATGGCCCGAGGGGGCCCGCTGTCATTGATCTCATAGGTCGATGCATGACCCAAGCTTGATCAATCTTTTCTGGACTGATGCTGGTGAAGAAAAGATCTCTTTTCTTCTCAGGTTATATGCCTTTGAGAATGTAAGTCTGCAATCACCAGTTATCTAGCTTCTGGCCTCACAGAAAAGAATCATTTTAGTAGAATAAAATGATGACTACATGCAGAGAGAAAGAGAAGAGATGGAGAGTCCCGCCAGTGTTCAGGTCCTGGGAAGGCGTCACTGCAGAGGCCAGCCTCCCTCCATCCTTCCCAAGGATGGTCAGTGTGAACCAGTGGGGCCCCTTCTTTGATTATTAGTTTTGCTGAGTTCTCCGAAGCAGAGAATTCTAAGACTCTATAAGACGTGTTTATGGAATAATAAAGAAAGTTCAAATAACTCAGTTTTATAAATCTAGGGCAGTCTTTAGAGGTGAGGGCCACCAAGCTGTCTTCAGCAATGTTGAGGACTCCACAGGAGGATGGAAGGGAGGGTGTTTCTGGGGCAGAGGAGAGGACAGTGCATTGGGGTGGAAAACGAGGTGGTGTGATGTGGGGAGAGACAAGAATGGGAAATTCCGCTGCGCTTAGACCCCAAGGGGATTTCCCTGAGTGCCTTGTTGTAGAGTTTGGGTTTTGTCCTGTAAGCAGTGATTGGGAAGTCACTGAAGGTTTGTATGCAGGGTTATGGTATGTTAAGATTAGTATTTTAGAAAGATAGTTGGTTTACAGTGGGGGTGACTAAAAAAAGATAAAGAAATCAAAGAGTCGAGATAGGCGGCTATTCCAGTAAACCTGGTAAGAAGTGATGAAGACCCAAACAAAGGCTGTGTGAGGATGGACCTCAGAGCCGGGACGCGGCCTTGAGGAGTTGCTGCCTGGCTGTATGGGAGAGGGAGGACAGGAGGGAGTGGGAGGTCACGCGGTGGCTTCTGACCGAGATGACCAGGTGGGTGGGCAGAGGCCTGTCAGCCAAGAAGGAAGGGCAGCTTGTAGGGGTGAGGGTAGATTCCATCAGCCTGACCGACGCCCGTGGGACATCCACTTGGGGATGCCTAATAGATAAGCAGAGGCAGTGCGGTGCCACTTGGCAGAGAAGTCAGAGCTGATGACACCAATTTACAAGTCGTGAGAGTGGCGAGGACAGATTCGGGACCAGAAAATTCCTAAGGTGGTTTATTTCCAAAAAGAGCCCTAGATAAATACTTACAATAGACACAAACTATTAGCATCTTAATTTTATTGGTATAACAACAAGCATCGTGAAGCAGAAATCACTTATGTATTCTACTTTAGGGTAGGGTAAACATTGCCACCTCATTTGCCTGCTGGCCCAGCTGTCTATTTTTATTATTGTTATTACCAATAGCACCCTCATTCTCTTGTAAGGTTGCTTACCTTACAATAAGGTATAAAAGATGCTTGCTTCCTTTAGCTTTTTGTTCTAGTAACTCTACTGAAGTGGCTTTCCTAAGTGCATATATATTTCTCCAAAAACATTGAGGTTGATAATTCAGAGCCTCGAGTCTGCAGAGCCAGCGCTAAAGAAGCACGCCTGCGATCAGCGACGTGTCATCCGTCGAGAGCTCTCACTGTTTATTGTCAAGGATGATCCGGTAGCTACTGAATTGGCTTTATAAAAATCAACAATAGAAATATTTCCCAAGCTGCTTTTGAGCTTAGCCACCTTCAAACATTTTCTCTCTCTCTCTCTTTTTTCTCCTTTTGCTAGTGGATTTTTAAAAGCTTTTTTCAGCAACTTGCAATCTTTTTTCAAACAGTGACAGAGGTTAGACAATCACACACACCAAATATAGCTCAGCTACTTCTTCCTCCTTTAAAAACTTGGGTTTGAAGGGAAACAAAGATATCTTTGGGAGCGATAATTAACTGAGAGTCGGGAGACCTGGGTTCTATATCCCCCTTATCTTTTATGAGTTTATAGTCTTAGATTGTTATTTAACAAAAGACAGTAACAATTGTCTTTCCCCCCCCCCAGATTAATATGAGGGTGCATATGATTAAGTCACATAGTTTTATCTTGTTTGCATTTGTAAGGTAAAGGCCCTGTTGCTGTTGTGCCGTCACCCAGGAGTTGAGCCATATGCCCGTATACTAGACCCAGCAGGTGGGAATTTGCTGAACCTCCTCCCCTCCTTCTTGTATTTAATTGTGTTTTTCTCTTGTGGGGCTGGGCTGAAGTTGTTAATCCACTAGTTTCAATTTAGTGTTGAGTAGGTAGGATGCTTGCTTTTCCATTCTTGTGAGACTTAGGAGAGTGTTCTCCA